AACGGCAGGATATATAAGCGGCAGGACACATGACAGGATGCCAGGGCCTGCCTGAGTGAGTGGGATGATCCCCCTCCATACTCCCTGCCACTGGGTGAGTGGGGCCCTGGCCAAGCCAGGCCAGGGGAGGGTCAGAGCCTGGGAGGCTTGTCCAGACATGCAGGGGGGCTCCCACCACTGCATGTACCCTGGTGGAGCCCTGGGGGCCATGTGCTCCCATGATCTGTGTGCAGGGTGAGGTGGCTGCCACTGTGCTCTGGGCTTTGCACCCCAAGCCCTGATGCAGTGCAGGGGACAAAGCCTGGGGCACAAAGCCCAGTGTGCAGCAGCAGCCACCTTGCCCCACGCACAGATCGCGGGGCACATGCCCCCCACCCCAATGCAGGCCAGCTCAGGTGGCTGGAGCAGCAATGAGGGAGGGAAGGAGTGGGGCTAAAGCAGGGACAGGCCCTGAAGCTGGGTCGGGATAGACCCACAAGCGGCTTGTCTAGGGGAAGTGGGGACATGCACCATGGGAGGGCATGGGGGGCACATGCCCTCAGATCTGCGTGCAGGGCGGGCTGCAGCTGCGGACTAGAGCCAGGCTCTTACTGGCAGGGGGGCTAGGCTGCCAGGAAAAGCCCAGCCTGTGGCGACGGCGCTGGCAGTGGGGCCACGGGTGAGTTGCAGCCACACAAAAATTTGCTGTAGCCCCCCCCAACCACCCCTCCCAGTGCCACCACTGCCTGTCCCGAGCACAGTGCAGCACAGCTGGGAACACCGTGGCACAGACTTCCCCTCTCCCTGAGCATAGGAGCCGTGTGCCCAGGATCTGCATGGGGCAGGGTGGCTGCCGCTGTGGGCTAGGGCTGGGAGCTTGCGCTGCGCTGGGGCAGGCTGCAGCGGCAAGTGACAGCACTGGGAGGGTGGGCTACAGCCTCCCCGTAGCTCTTCTCCAAGTGCCACCAGCCTCCCTGCCCAGAAGAGCCTGGCCCCAGCCCACAGCTGCAGCCCGCCCCACCCTTCCCTGCATCCAGATCCAGGGGCACGTGCTCCCTGGGCCCTCCCTGCTGGGGGGTGAGCCCCCAAATAAATTTTTCTCCCTCTGCCTCAATCTGCCTCCACCCTTTCCCTCCCCACAGACTTACCTGCTGGGCTGGGGTGGTGGGGGTGGGGGGGGAGGCGAGGGGTAGATCTTGGGTTGCTTTTAAATTCCAAAAGAGGGAACTCCTACTGAAAAAGATTTCAGCTAGAGGTCTTCATCTGGCAGCAAGAGAGTTGCCAGATGCCCCAAAGATCCTGTAACATTTTATGGTTGAAAAACTTACTGCGCATTTCCTTCAAGTTTTGGGGCTTAATAAGCCCATTGTGGCAACGGTCGCTGTAAGCCATTTTCTGTACATGAGGGAAGAAAATGGGAGATCATGCTAGAGACAGAGGGCATATGGGGACACACTGAACCCCTGAAGGGAGATCAGGGTCCCTGTTATGGTGGGGGTGGGGAATGAGAAAGGGGGACATAGCTAAGATAAGAGAGGTCCTGGGAAATGCACAGCCCCCTGCTCTCACAGCACAAAGGAGGGCTTTACAGGGAGTCCCTGGAAGTTTGGAGAAGAGGAGAGGTGGTGCATGGGGAGCTTGTGGGAGGGAAGACTTTGACAGAAGAGACTTAAGTGGGTTGAGCTCTTGTTGGAACCACTTTGGGGGCGGGCTGGAGTGGAGGCTCCAGGTAAGCAAGCTTTGCTGCATAGAACTCTTGTAAATAGGACATTTTTATGCCCTCTTCTCCTCAGGGGCAGATGGTAGCCTAGGCCTGATGACAGCCACAGAAACCACTCTCCGACTTGTTCCCCATGATAATGTTTCATTGCATTGGGTGAGTGCTGTCCCCAGATGAACACTATAGTTCTGTAACTGTTCTGTTGCATGGGTAACTGACTGGACTTGAGGAGAACAAGCAAGACTCTGAGGCCATGTCCACACAAGCATGAACATTTATTTACCTGGGGACAACTAGCAGTGGGACACCTAGTGCTGCCACTAGTTGTCCCTGGGGAATGCCTGTGCCATGTGCCCTCTGGCATGCAGCAAGTTACCTCAGGTGGAGTAGAGGAGGCTTGGGTCAGCACTGGGCTGGCTCTAGCAGCGTTACCTGGGTTCCTAGGGGCTCCTGGGGCTGCAGCAGCAGCAATCCTGCCACTCAGAGCCTGGATCTGGCCGGCCAAGCTCTGGTTTTGAGCTGCATGTGCTGTCCCCATGGGTGCCACTGTTTTTTGGGTTGGTTTTTTTTGAGCCCTGGAGGTAAAAAAAACCCCACTGTGCTGCTCCACTGCAGTGCAGGGAACAGCCGAATGTGCGGTATGTGGTGCTGCAGACGGGTCTGCGGCACCACATATCCAGACAAGTGTGGCTGTGTGGTGTGGCCTGAGAGACCCAGAAATGGGAAAAAGGTTGTCCCAGGAGGGACAGAGATGGCCCCAGGAAGGACAAGTGGAGTCTGTGGAAGGACAGAGTGAGCTGGAATGGCATAATAAAAACTGCTTGTTTTGGAGCAGAACCTGTTATGCTGTTTGGGATGTTGGTCCTCTGACCCCTCCTCTTTAAAGAATAAAACACCCGCTCCTTCCCAGGTTTGGACTAAAAAGAAGCTCTCGGACATGGGGATGCTACAGATCACCGGGGAAGCCAGGGACTGAGAAGACCCAGGGTCTCAGAGCCAGAGGCTTGGCTCTTGTGAAGCCACATCAGGGTGGGCTTCCTCCCGGGGAGGGGGGGCGGGGAAGGGGGGGCGGCAAAATAAGGCTGCTTCTTCAGGAGTCCCCAGGTAGACAGTTTTCCCCTTCCCCTCAGAAGGGGCCTTGATCCTTCATGACAGAGAGGAAATGTAGGGATGGGTGCAAGATAACCCATGGGTGCAATAAGTCTGGCTGACACAAGCAGCACAACCTGCAATCCCCTAGTGCCATTATCTTAACAAGTGCCTGGCACCACTGTACCCAAGCAGAGCAGAGGCTGCAGCAGTGCCAGGCTCTATCACACATCCTTGCCTTTGGGTTGGTCATTTGTGAGCCTCTTGCAACAAAACAAGTTTCTGTGTCTGCCCACCCCCACCCACTCAATGAAGCACACCACCCTTTGCAAGCTCATCCTCACTGCCCAATGATTTCTAGGACAATCACCTTCCGTGATCAGGCCTTGGCCAAAGGTTTCCCCTTTTGCAGGATATTTGCATTAAGCAAATGATCACTAGTTCTGTTTCTCCAAGTATCCTAGGAACTTTCACCTTACATCTTCATCTTCTGACAAGCAGCCAGGTGGACTTTATGTACTTGAATGTCTGACTCCCATATCACCAGTCCCTATCCTATATAATCACTGTCCTGATGCTGATGCAACTTATGCTGTTCCTTTCATCAGTTGTTAATAACACTCACCAAGTAGTTCTGGTTCATTATTGTTGACTGTATAATTCAGCTTTTGCTCCCAGAGACTGTTCTTCACTTCTTGTCCTAAGCTGCCAAGTAATGCAGTGCCGAGCTGCTATGCTCTACCCAGATGATGGCTGTGCTTCAGTCTGGCAGTGAAGTCCATTGGCAAGAAAGACACTTGGTGGATGAAACAAATTATGATTAGCTACTACACTTGGTTACCTCAAACCATTTGATTATTATGACTGACTTCCACTTGCAGCTAGATCAGTAGTAGGCAACCCCTGGCACGGGTGCCAGAGCATGGCACACAAAAGCATTTTGCCTGGCACATGGCACCTCAGGGCATATGGTGGGGAAGGGGCCAGGACTGGATCCGGCCCCTCTCAGCTTCCCTGCTGTCCACCCCTGGCACTCCAACATCTTACAAGTCAAGATTACAGGTGTTTTTGGCACTCTGCCCAAAAATGCTGCTGACCCCCAAGATACATGATAGACTGCTCTGTTTCTTTGAGCTCTCACTCCAGTATTATATGCTCCAGCAGATCAGTGGTAAGCCCTGAAAACATCTTAGCCCCTCTCTAGGCAAAATAATGTGCACAAATTCTTGCTAGGGAATAGACCTGATCTAGCAACATTTATGAATAGCCTTATTAACTTCACTGGGCACAGGATGGGGCCTTTCAAGTCACAGAGAAGTACAGAAGCCTCCCTCAGAGGAAGTGTCATATATACATCACTCCCATACTGAAACTATTACTCTGATAAAACAGAATGAGAGAAAAGGCTCCTGCGCCTCCAATGAAGTTTGCTGTGGACAATACTTTCTAGATTTCATTCACTCGTTCAGCACCTGGGAAGATGTTATCAGCTTTATGCCCATTGTGTCACACACCTTGGCCCATCACTATCTGTTCCCCAAACTCTGCTACTGGCTTTCCATTCTAAGGAAGGGTCATGATATTATGACTTAACATTTAAGGACAGTTCTCTGAAGATATGCTCAACCCGCTTCCAACAGCCACACCTGACCTGGCCAAAAAAGCCAAAGCTTAATGTTCATTTGCCCCAGGGCCTTACAAAAATTTAGTCTTGCAAACAAAAACTATCAGACCAGCCCCACACACCTCTAGAACAGCAGTATTCACATAAAGGGATTCATATAAAAACTGTGGATTCAAAACACTTGAAAGTTTGGAATAACACACAGTGTCCAGTGAGGAAGATCAGATGTTAATGCCATAGGATGTATTATGATCCTCTCACCTGAACTCCTGCATAGCAGATATAAAATACCTTCTACTGAGTCCTGCATTGTATCCAATAACTTATATTTGATCTAACAGATATTCCTCAAGAAACTGGAGATCCACCCAGCTGTTTTCAAGGTTGCTCACCCTTCTTCAAAAACAACCCACCTTCAGCATCATCAGCATCCAGCTACTGGTCCTCACTATGCGTTGGGCTTCTACTTTAGCAGACATTTGATCAGAAGTTTCCTTCATATGAAGTTTGCAATTAAGTCTCTTCTGGAGGACTTGGTATCTCTTAGGTTTGCACCTCCCTTTGCAATAAAAGGATTTCCTTGCCAGTTACTTTGGTTTATTTTTTTTTTATAGAAATGCTTTATTGCTGCAGTCAACCCTGTGTATCACAGCACAAATAACCAATTACAGTTAAGAAACTAATAGTACTTCTGCAAATGGTAATACTGAGAAAACAAACATACAGAAAAGGATACAAAACTATACATTTAAGTTACTAGAAATTTACTAAATAACTAAAAAAATTCTGCGGAATTGTGAAGTGTCTTGTAGAAACTATACAACACATGCCAGTGTAAAGTTGATTAACAGTATACAATCACCTATCTACAAATGTTTTATCTAAATACAAGATCAGCTGTAATTTTTAACAGTTATCATCTATACAAAGACAAGTGCTTGCTAATTTTCAGTATTTCATTGGGATACATAGATGCTGCAATATTGCAAACTAAAAAACCCCAGGAGAATCACAAAATAAGTGGTCCTGTTTAAAAATTTTATTTGCATATCTAGGATAATGCTGTGAAAATCCAGCCCGCAAGAATGTTGCTTTTGTATTTGCCCCTCACAGTGTCAGAAAACTAGAGGGATCTAAACCAGAACCAGAGACTCAAATGCCATTGAAGCGGTGTGCATGGAGGGACAATAAAAACACAAAACAAAACAAACAAACTTACCGCCATAGCAGATCTCACTGTCTACAGAGAGCCACTCCAGGCATCAAGATCCCAGCACTCCTTTGTGTGAGAAGCATTTGGCCTGTTTGTCACCCACCTAATTCAGTCATCCAGGGGCGTAAGAATCAAATCCCACGTGCAGCCATGACAGTACTTCCCAAGTCCTCCCAGTGCTGTTGGAAGGCCCCGTACACCCAAATTCTCTTCCCAACAGTAGGAGCTAATGCTTAGGTCAGTGAAGCTGAATTGATAGAAGGTCAGAAGTCAAGAAAGATACACAATTCCTTTACAGCAATCCACTACCATTTACCCCTGCCAGTTCAATCTACACCTTTGTGAATTTTCCATACTTCTACAATGTGCTGCATGATATCCTGGCTCTGAACACCAATGATCTCTATAAAACTTGGTCTTCAGGTCTCATCCATTTCTTTTGAATACAGGGCAACAATGGCATGCATTTGTTTTGTTTGTTTGTTTGTTTGTTTGTTAGTTAATCTCCTGCCCACCCACATAAAAAGTTAGTTTAAGAGAATCCTGAGATTTCGTAGGGGTTTAACATATGATGATCTCAAAGTGAATCAACCTTCTCTAACATGCATGTGTAGCTCTAAATGTGTGCTTATGACCATGCAGATATACAGGAAGGAGATTTCCTCAGCATAACTAGACATGTTGGACAAGACTATGTAAGACAGTGAAATGCAAATTTTCCATTAGACTATATTTCATGATGTCCCTACTCTGCAGAAAACAACCAATGCTGGATCTGACAGTCTATAGATAATGCTGTAGTAGATAAATTAAGCTACTGTTCTCTTTGACTCAAATTCTACTCTCACTTATACACCAGGAGGCCCATCGACTGTGGTCAGGAATCGTGGGTGTAAAACGAGCCAAAAATCCACTCTAGTTTTACCTGATTATTGGAAAAGCATCCAAGACAACAGGCTTAGAGTGCCTGATTTGATAAAGAATGGTCATTGTCACTCAAAGTTCAGAGAGAATGCTAAAACTTGCAGAATGAGGGTAAATGCTTTGCAGCCCTTGTTGATGGCCTTTATTATACCACCTGATGGCACTGTGGTAAAGAAGCAAAACGTAGTTTTACAGTCCATTGGGCAAGAATCAACATGAGATACGTCGATAGGATGAACAAAAGTCAGCAAGAATAATAAACAAATGATCAGTTCTGCAGCTCTTACTCTCACAGTTCTGTTGCTTTCAAAAGGGCTACACACAATTATTATTTGCCTTGGTAAGGGTTGAAATACCATGCCCTAATTTCACTCAGAAAAGATGAATTAGGGAAAAGAACCTTATAGCATCCCAAATCTTCTCAATGGGGAGCAGGTTTGCAGATAGGAGGGCAAAGATGATGGGAGCAGCAAGGGACAAAGTGTTGGAGGGAGAGAGGGGGGCGGTAAGGCAATAGTGGTCAAGCTGCTTGAGTCTCCCATTGCCTGCCTTCCTCACTTCCTGTCCCCATGCCACTGCAGTGGTCCGGGGGATGAATTTAAGACAACCCTCCAATAATTCAATTTTATACATGGAAAATGATAACAAATTATTTTTTTCCGTGTATAGAATGTGATTATTGGAAAGTTGTCTTAAACTCAGAATCATCTTGGATTTTGATGAATACAGTCAATTTAGTGATGTTTCTCAAAGGGTTGTGGATTAGATAGGATGACATGTGGCAACAACCTAAAGGAAGCTGTGTGTGTTAATTTTTAATCCTTGAAGGCTTGTATGCATGGAAATGTATTAAGAACAGGATGAAGGCATTGAGGACCTGGTATTCAACCTACCTGAGTATACTTATATAACCTTCCACAAAATAAAAATAAAACACTGCATTATCTGGGTTCAGATACAAAGACATGAAATCAATAGCACCCCACGTAAGACAGTTCAGAAAGAGGCCCTGTATAATTGCACTTTAGAGTGTGGCAGACACAGGTAATGGACTCTGCAGGCATGGAGACACGATGACTGCAGCCAAGATGGTGGAAGTGAGGTTTCACCTGCTTACATCATGTAATCCTGGGACATAATGGCACCCACCATAGCACACACAAGTGCATCTTGAGAGACTGTCCAAAAGCTTGTGATATTTTCAAGCATCTCAAGAACAGGAGACCATGTTATCAATGAAGACTGAAGCCAGTAAGCTTGAAGTTGACACACATGCACATGTATGCGCACGCGCAAGCACGCGCGCACACACACACACACACACTTTTAAGACCACAGGTCCATGTCCTCTATGTTCCCTCTTCTGTCTCATAAGAAGCAGATTTTTAATTCAAAAGATTGAGATATAAATAACTCAATTCCACATTTCAAGAAAAACTCCTTGATTTCTTACTGTTCTTCCATTCTAGGATCCATAAGAGGAGACATGTTCATTAGGCCCAATTTATGTTCAATATGAGTTTTATTTGAGAATGGACTGAGAAACCCCTGAATAAGGAGTCTGAGATCCAGGCCAATATTTCAAAAGATTTTCTAGCGAAATGAGAGGTCCAGAGCAATTTCCACAATAGTCAAAAGGGAAAAATTCTCATTGACTTTACAGGGAGATTGACTGAGCCCCTGTAAAGCAAGTCACCATTCGAACATGGGAGCTATTTCATAATGACTTATTTTCCCCTTATGTGTGGCACTGACACACTACTCTGCATAAATTAGCCCTGAGTAGCCTTCACTTTAACTTGACTGTACTTGAGGCAATGATTTCCTAACAAAACACAACATATTTCCAAACTTCTAGATGCCTCTATCCAGTTCTCCAAGAGACTGTTTACACCATGGTTGCAATATGTCCTAGCTGAGATGACCCCAGATGTGCCCATTCCACTCCCACTTACATGCTCCAAGGCTGGAAATGAGACAGTAAGGCTACTCCAGGGTGTCCCTCTGTGGCTGTTCTCAACCATAGCCAAGTCCATGGCCTTGACACCTACCATAGAAGCATGCCCTGGAATAGGCTAAATGCCACCTTTCCAGATCTGGAGGGTGAGTGGGAGTGTGTAGTCAGGGCATGATGCTTCCAAGTGAGAACGATAGTGGTGCAATGTAGATACACCCACACGGACTACAGAACTGTGCCTCTTTCTGTTCAGCAGCTAGTTCAATGAGCCATTTGCAAAGTTAAACCAAACCAAACTAAACCCACTCTGTCCAAGGAATATATCACAATCTGAGCTTAACAATCTTACCTTTGAAGAGACTGAAATTCTTATGCAATATTTACTCCTTATAAGTTATCTACAGTGTCAAATAATGCACCTTCATAATGTCAAATTCTCACACGAGTCACACATGACACAGCATTAACAGAGGCAAACTATGTCCAGCTGTATTAACAGTGATGAGTTTTTGTTTTGTTTTGTTTCATTTTTTTAAGAGCTCACATTTTTCCGGTACAGCATCACTCTTCCGCCAGTAGCTTGGGATGAAAGTTACATCAGGAATGTGTTCAGGTCTGTTAACTGTGTAGCTGATCTTTTTAAAAAGCAAAACAACCCCTCCAAAAGAGAACACTGCGACCATTACACATTAGAAACAAACATTTCTACATCCACTATTCTCCATATACAAGTCACAAGTGCAATATTCTTCCACAAATTTGCTCCTGAAAGGGGGAAAGAAACCCAAGAGGCAGATTTTTTAGTGTTACATTTACTATGATACCATGGGCATGTGCTGAAAACCATATTAGTTGTTTTGTTGTTTTTTGTTTTTTTTTTAATAAGGCAAAAGGTTTAGAATCTAATAGGATGGATGTGGATCAAGAGTGAATATTAAAAAGGGATATTCTGAAATGAGACATTCTTTCAAGTTTCATTCCCATTGGACACTTATATTACAAAATAAAGATTTTAAAAAGTGCTATATGCTTTGTGAGTCTTTTATCACAATATGTAAAGCATAATTTTACAACTGCTGCCTAAGTCAAATGTTAGTGGCAGTGTTAGCAGTAAATTAGACTCTAGCGCTCTCATGGTTCTCTCTCAGCTGCTCCTCAGAGTCGGATGCAATGTTATCCCACACGCATTCTGAGACGTATTAAAGCTGTCTTTCGAAAGCAGCGCACACCATAAAGCCAATGATGGTTTACACTAGGGTTTGCCATGCACTGAAGCCTTGCTTCACACTCATATTTCCTGTGTCTCTTTGTTCAGGTCAGTCTGAGAGACAAAACACTGAGAGGTATGCAGATGATAACATATTGACAGGTATATCAGAGCATTTAAAAATGTAAAAAAAAAGAAAAAAGAAAAAAAATGTTCATCTGCCAGTCATAGGCATTTAGTTAAATTGAAAAGGTAGAGCAGTTTGAAGTAAACAATGATGTTTTAGATCTTTGACAACATAGAGGATAAAACCCCCCAACAATCAGACATGAAGGATTTCTGCACCGCAGTCTTCTGGCTCCGTGTAATGTGAAGAGTTCGTATCTGAATGGTGAACACCAAGCATTTCTTTATTTTCAAAGTTTGGCTCCATTAGTGCAGGTTTTTCAAAAATATTTTTTTTGCTAGTTTCTGGACAGTTTTGTACATATATTACTCGATTATAAGCTTTGAGTCTCTTCCACAGTTGTACGTACACTTTGCACTGTACGTACATAAACAGAAGTCCTCCAGTGAAACCAATAGCTACAACCACCAGCTTAGTCCAAAATGGCCACTCCAAAATCCCTGGAAGAAAGTGGGGAAAAAAAGGACCAAATTAACATCAGTCAGGCCACACTATCTATAAAGCAAATCTTTAAGTGAGGGTTTACAGGGTTCCATCAATACAAACAGTTTACGTTTTAATATCCCACACAGGGCAAATATAACAGCCAGCAAACTTTTTTATACCCTACTATTTTTAAATGGAGCATTTATGAAAGAGGAAAAAAAATGGGCAAATGAAAGCATTAATCCATTTATAAAAGAGGATAGTTGATGCGATTGCTGCAATAGCAAGGGACTGCACTTGGGGATCTAGGAAGTCTCTTCCAGCCCTAGGTTCCAATCTGTGATCACAATCTGTATGGATGCCAACTATAAAAAATATGCCACAATAATGGTAGTTTGAATTTGTCATCCTGGCTTTCTAGCCACTAGATCTTAGTATCCCTTAGTTTCCTTGATTTAAGGGGAGCATTAATATTAAATATCTTCTCCTCATTCAAGTACTATGCATATCAAACCTCTCTACTATTGACTAGTCAAGGACACTGCAGGAAAGACTACTGCCTTCATTTTGATCCATGCCTGTTCGCTTTCCTAAACCATGTATAACAACATATCAAAATCCCAGCTTTCTAAAGATTCTCCATTGGCCCATACTTGGCCACTTGGAACTACATGACAGCGCTGGTGACAGACCCCAGACCCTGACCCTCTTGTTCCAAAGGTAAGAATCCATGCCCCTTGGTTACAGTTAAATCCCCATTATTGATCAGCAGCATACAACTAGGACTAGGGACCTACCAAAATCACATTTTCATAGATTTCGCAGAAATCACGAAATCCAGCATTGCTCGTGAAATCCATGAAAAAAGTCTTACTGAAAATAAAATGCAGGCTACTCAGAGTGAGCCAGCAGTCCACACAGCTCTATGGCCCAGCTCCTCAACCCACCAGGGAGAAAAGAGGGGTGGGGGGCAGGTTTGCCTGCATGAAGGGCAGTCCCAGGTGGCTGCTGCCCCTGCCCCTCTCCACTGATTGGCTGAGGGTTGCCTGGGATGTGGCCCCACCCCTCTTCTGGCAGCGAAGTGCAGGGCTGCATGATGGAGAGCCCTCGCAGCCAATCAGTGGCGAGGGGCAAAGACAGCAAGTCTCTTGCCCAGAGGCATGCTGGAGGATGGGGAGGGGGCCACCATAATCAGCCCGTGAATGTGGCGGCTGGCCATGCTATCTCCCCATGAAACGGGCCAGCCACCTCCTTGAGTTAGGTAGACCCCCTAACTATAACACCCAGCTGAACAGTTCTGATCCATCCAGTGCAAGGCAGTGACAGCTGCATCCATTCTCGCAACTCACTACAGTTCTCACCAGAGTACTCACTCATCCCATGTGGATGCCAAAGCAGAGTACTGTGCATCGAGTACTAACTATTCATATTACTCAATTTATGCTCCTCTAAAACATTTATCATCTAAAACAACCTGAAGGCTATACGTGTTTGAAAGCATATGTTTTTCATAATCATATTGAACCCTCAAAATTAAGAGGCCAGCAATTTTCACTACTTATATAAAGGATGCTGTCAGATGGGAGAAAGACCAGAAACTTTCAATCAAAGCAACTTCTTGACTGAAGAAAGAAAAAAAAATAATCAAGAACATTCAAGCTAAACTGAAAATGAAAAATGACAGTCATCAAAAGTGTACAGTTTGAAGGCTGGCTCTACCCTCGAGAAAGAGATTCTAACATAACTTTATGAGCTTGTAGGTTTATTAATACTCAACTATTTGCATGGCAATTTCATTCTAAGTAACAACACTTGCTTCTAAACTGCCAATCCTGCAATCTAAGATTCAAACTAGAATCAAATCCTAGCTACAAAGTATCTACAAATCCTACCTACAAAACAACAATTCACAGCAAGTTAAAAGGGGGTGGGAGCTTGCTCCAGAGCAGTCCCTGCCAGGTAATTGTTTGTTAGTCCTCTCACTCCCATGGCAAGTTAAACTTAAAACCTCAGTGATTTAGCCTGTTTTAGTGATGGATATACTTCCCAGCTTAAATTTCACTTATCATAGGGTAAAACTAGCACAGTCATCAGATCAGCTGTTCAGTGAAAAGTCCCCATAAAAGAAGTGTCATACTGGGTCAGACCAATGGGCCATCTAGCCCAGTATCCTGTCTCCCCACCCACTTTTAACTTGCTATACTTTCATTTTTTGTCCAATATGAAGTATGCTGGTTCACATATTATGTGACATTTAATCAAGGCAAACTGTCCCTTGGAACACCAGTGTATACTTACTCTGCAATGGAGTGGTTTTAATAAACAATACTCCTCCTGAATTGAAAGGAGAAACTGAATCTAGATCTTGGTCTTTTAGCTGTGTTGGTCAGCAAGATTAAAGAGTAAAACATAGCAAACACCTAAGGCTGTATCTAAACTTAGGAAATGCACCAGTTTAAAAACTGATTTATTTAAACAAATGCAAATTTGCATGTGAAAACTCTGAATACTGGTATTGTTATATGAGAAAACTTGTTATATGAGATTAGTGTCCGCACCCTTTTATTTCATAGATGCAAGGTAAATCAATGCAAGACAGATTTTGGTTGATTTTAAAAGTGTCCACATATAAAAGTCGCACTTGTTTTACAGTGTAACTGATGGAAGTGTGGCTATATTTCAGTTGCTGAAACCAGAAGCTCTTACTGAATAAAAAAGTTGTATTCCCCTTTGCATTCAGTCACCAACAGGATAAAGAAAACAAAGTAACATACCAGTAGTCTGTCCCTGTTTAATCTCTTCAGCAGTCCGGTCTATGAGGACATATAGAGACCACACGACGCAGGTGATGGCAATGATATGGAACGTTACAGAGCACATGATCTTCCTCCTCTCACTGGCTGTCATCTGCAACTTCTCCCACTAGTAAGAAATCCAGAAGGCAGAGTGAGATTAGAGATGTTTGTTCTAGCAACAGCAGATGATCACAAGAACACTGGTAAACACACTTCATAGGCAGCAGATTGTTTCCCTAGACTCACAGAAGCGTTTCTTTAAAAGAGTGATATGATGTAGTTGCCCTTACCTAGCATGTACCAATTCAAGCAGCTGAGACTGGGACTTGATCTTTTCTTTCTTCCACTGACTCCACTGATGCTCCCAGAGCTGATTGGGAGCAGCAGTGGATTGTTAGAGCTGTGCTGGGTCAGGGTGCACTGCTACTCGTTGGGTCAGTCTGTACATAGGGGCTTGAGCCAGGAGTGGATCCAGCGTGGGGTTGTGGGGGGAGCATCAATGTATGCACAGTGAGTTCTCTGAGCTCACTGGCATGTCAGCACAGCGCTTGCCAAAGCTCTGCACATGCTGCAAGACCTCTGAGCTCACCAGCTGACCAGCACAGGGTCTGGCCACAGCTCCTTTTTTATGCAGCTCTGGAGACCAGAAATGAGTGCTGCTGCTGCTT